CTAGGAAATGGCTTACACAAATAGCACAAAATGCAGAATATGCCTTTAGATTGTCATTCCTGATGGTAGCTCGAGTGCTTCCCACACATTGGTGAAACTGCAGCCATGCAGTCTGCCTCCCAGGGCAGGATTGCTGCCTCCCTCCTTCTCCTTGGATGCATCAATCCAGACCAAATCTGAAAAGATGGTTGACCTCACCCCACTAATAGAAATGAAGTATTCATGGCCTTTGCTGCCTAGGTAGGCAATAATCATTCTCTCAAAAATGATATTTATGAGTACTACACCTATATTCTATAGAGTGACAAGAAAGGTTTTTATAAACCCAGAAGACTGAACAAGATTTGTCAAAGGAGAAAGTATCAACAGACATCTTTGAACAGAGAACAAAATGGAATATGTACTAAGAGCCCACCTGAATGGCCTTGAAAATATTGTTCCATTTCTTATGTCAACCTGTACATGTTGAGTGGTCCAGATCTTACTTCGTATTCTTTGGAGCATGGGCCTACCACACAGTTGCACATGTGATAGCCCCTCAACAGCCAAAGAGAGCTTTGGCCTTTTTTGTTGCTACTGGATATGGACTTACTTTTTCAATGGCTTACAGGTAATAGATTATCATACACCTTATCAACCAGTTGAGTTTTTTAAAATTTTGGACTTTCAATTTATGATAAATATTTTCTCATGTATAATGTAGGAGAGGAATAGAGAAATTAGGAATTAGATAAAATCCATTTTGAATATTAGCATCACTGATATCCTTTATTCTTGTTTTACATTTACACTAGAAATGTAACACTAATCCTCAAGTCTTTTGTGTTTTTCATATAATATTTTGGTGTAAATGATTGTGTTAGAATTGATAACATAATCAATTCTAATATGATAATTCAACATATCATATTTGAAATATATAAAAAGGATAATTGTATGTATGAGGCACTTGTTTCAATACTGTGCAGTGAACATAGAAATAAAAATTTAAAGCATAGTAGTAGGTGAAATTTAACCGTTGACCAGTAAAAGTAGAGGAAACAATAATGAAGAGAATTAATGTATAATTAATCAAATTGTAGTGGCTTTGAAAATTATATAAATACATAAAAATTTTATGCTAACTAGAAAAAGCAGAATAGAAAAATACACTTGGTTATAATAGAATGATTGCAATGCAGACCTATGTTTAAACAAACTTGAAGGAAATCTGTTGTCATCATGGTGATGATTTTGTTCCTCTGTTCACAATTTTTCTGGTATTCAGTATATTTAATTCATTTTCATAAAGGAAAAGGATAAAAGCTATGCAACTGTTTATTTTGAACTTGTGTTTGAGATCACTGAAACATCAAAGTGGCAATAAGTAGTAAATAGGTCTGTAATTAAACTCTGGTTATATATAGGAGATATTTAGTAAATGTTATCTAAATTGAAGTTCTGATCAATTTCCTTCTCCTTGCATTGGAATCCCAAAAGCCTAATGAAACATTAGAAGTTTTGCCGTCATTTCAACTTCTGTAGATCATATTAACAGGAAGGGAGAAAAAACCCTCTTTTCTTTTCCAATTCTATACTTGAAGCGGCTAAGGGGCTCTCTTTCCTTCCCTGAATAAATGTAATTTAAATCAGCTAATCTAAAAATCACATGGAAAATACTTTATTTCAAACATATATCATTTCGTATTTTTTTCTTGTGTGCAAAAGGAACATTCATTGCTTTCCTTAAGGCCAGTATCATTTTTCTTGCATAATATTTCTTGTTTAAGGGTCTGCTCTTAATGTTTTCAGATTTTCAATGAAATAGAATCCAGAGGCATGTATATCCTAATGAATTTTGACAGACTTTGACAATCTAGGCATTTTCTAATTAGAAGATTTCAGTTCATTAGTTTAGCATGCCTGTATACTAACTGTGCTATAACAACTGTGTTCCTGGGTAAAGATTGCTCCTTTGGGTGTCTAGAGTGTTATTTAAAGGGAATTATTACTTCTCATTGTTACAGTAATAAATTAGAGACATTTAAATGGGGTAGGGGTAACATGAAGTGATTTTTTCATAGTGCCATGTCATGAGGACAGGGACCATGCCCCCAGCCTTCTGACTGGCATTTGAGGTTGTGTCCAGCTTGAGTATCTCTGAATACATGGGTGTGTGAACTCATGTTTCACACATTTGTTCCACAAACTAGTTCTTCTTCTTCACAGACTAGTTTTTTATCAACCTTTGCAATCTAAAGGAGTAGTGGAGCTGGTGTGGTGGTACACGACTGTAATCCCAGGACTCAGAAGGCTGAAGCAGAATGGAGAGTTAGAAGCCAACCTGCGCTACATAACAAGACTCAGTCTCAAAAAAAAAAAAAGATGAAGGTGTGGAAGAAAATTGCTAATTTTGAGGTTACTTACTTACTAAACCATATCGGGTTTGGGTTGTGACTTGAGGAAAACAAATAAGCAGAAACTTTGGAGTCATGTCATAACAGCCAGAGTTCTCCCAACTAACAGGAATTCCGCTCCAAGTTTTCACAAAATCTAAAACACTGGAGCCCAGCTCCTTCAGGGCCTCTTTCATGAGTTGCATTTATCTTACCAAGTTAGCCTTAGGAATTACCCACTTCCTCGTGCATTTTTCGTTAATGCATTCTATACCATTAATAGTAGGACCTCAAGAAAATGGATCACAGGAAGTAAGTTTAGCATTGGTACATGGTGAGGGGGTAGAGATAGTAAAGAAACTCACAGACTGGAGTCTGGGGAGTCCAAAGGCCCAGGGCAACAGAGAGGAACATCAAAGTCAAACCAAGAAGTTTCTATCAAGCATCTCCTACATAGAAGTAAATGAAATAGGTACCATAAAACACTAAAACAAAGAATGGCCTTTTCACTCATTTGGTTGTCATTTTCAAACAGTGTCTGTGGCAGAGTTAAATAACTAACATTTAAAGAGTATTTATTGTGTGTTGGGTACCATCTTAAGTGCTGTGTCTGTTTTGTTTCATTAATACTTACAACAACCTTCTGAGAAAGGGTCAATGGTTATATTCATTTTATCCATCAGGAAACCGAGATAAGGGAGATTCAAAGTTTTTGAGACTTCAAACTAGGCTGATTCCAGAGTGCTTGCTTTTAAACATTATGCTATCCTGCTTCCCAGACAGACATCCTGTATTTCAGGGCCTTTAGGGAAAAGGGAAAGAAAAATGTAAGTGTCGGCCTGGCAGAGCACAATGTGTCTGTTATGGCAGATTTCCGCCTCATTACCTGAAGTCTTGCAAAAGATGGAATACACAAAAAATCATCTTGCTTGATCTAAAATATTTGTCGTAGAGTAGCTAAGCCTAAGTCTTTAACCTAACCCTAAATATTTCTGGTTGGAGGTTAATCGAACCCAAGGGATTCTTTTGTTATTGTTCTGAAATCTTAGCCAAGAAACATTTTCTTTTTGGACTTGCTACCTGAAATGTGGGTATCTGAGCACGGTTACTTGGTGGCCTTTGATCCCATTAGAGAGTTCTAAATTGGTGGCCTGGACACATGAATGAAACTTGATATTAGAAAAACACCCCGCTGAAATCATAGAAGATTGTAGTATAATATATACATTCAGAATAACCAAGTCTTGGGAAAAATAAAATGAGTTTCAGTTGACCTCCTTTGTATACTTATAACTGTGCTTTCACTCTGGAGTGATTCTTAATCCACATCCTCACATATCAGGTACACAGCAAGACTTAAAAATCCCTAACTCCAATGTAGACGCAGTCAGAGCTTGGGGAATGCAATACTCTCTTCAATACTCCAAAAAAAAAAAAAAAAAAAAAAAAAGGTGACATATGCTGCTAATGAGTTTGAATTTGTCCTACTTTAGATACAATGCTGATGTCATCTTCCCACAGTATTTTATCTTCCAGGAATTTTCAGTTAATCAGTTTGGCTTTTTTTGAGGCCTGGCCCAATGACCTCAATGTTTGCAGATAGACTCAGTTTCATTAGTCTCAGTACATTTTTAAGGGTAGTCTGTGACCACTCTTTTCTGCCCGTTCAGCTGTGGTAAACAGACACCTTCAGCAAATACAGCGACTGCTTCAGCTGTTAGCTACACACACACAGTGTTTCAGCTCGCTCTTGGATTCATTTAGAAGCATCTGTTTGAAGTTTCTGTGTACCCAAGGAAGGACAGGGGTAGGTGAGATTCAGACCTTCAACTGTGAGTGCTGTATATGGCCCTTACCCTCAGAACTGATAGCCCAGTGGGAAACACATAAATGAACCTGGGGATGCTCTTGGTATTGCCTTGCAGTATAGATGAAGCCATGCTTTGCAGTTTTTCCATTCTTTATAGCTGACCACATAATGACTGTAAAATGTGGAAAACATTATTTCAGTGTGATTTAATACTTCTTTATCAAACTCTCAGAAGAATGGTGTAAATACTGTTTTGTATTAGCGGGATAGGATAATGAAGCTCTCTCCCTATTTTTTGTCTCTAAAGTTCATTTTTTTTTATTTTAGTCTTATGCTGGGTGGGGATACATTGTGGTGTTTATAAAAGTTCTTACAATGTATCAAATATATCATACTTGAATAGGATCTTAGTTCATAGCCAGACTGGTCTCCAACTCGTTCTATAGCCCAGACTTGCCTAGAACTCACACTCCTCCAGCTTCAGCCTTCTATGCTGGGATTCTAGGTATGTACCACCATACCCAGCTCAAGTTCATCTTTAATGACTAGTCCTGCAGCACAACTTCTAAGCAAGCATGACGCTTTACCCTGCTTCCTTTCCCTTTTTGATGAAGTCTCATGTGGATGGTAGGGAAGCCACTCATTTGGAGGCCATCAGTGCACATCACTTGGTATTAGAAAAGATTGGAGATGTTTATGACATGCTGGCTTTCCATTATGTTATATATAGCCTTCTAGTCTCAGATGTAAATAATTTAGAAACAAGTTTCCGTTGTGTGTTAAAATATTCTTTCTTAATTTCTTCTTAATTACAGAGCAAGGAGATTGCATTCCAACTTCATGAGGATTTAATGAAGGTTCTTAATGAGCTTTACACGGTAAGCATATAATCTTTCTTCTTTTGCAGGATATCTTGGTTTAGATTTCTGGTTTGTAGAAACACTGCTCATTTTAAAACTCACTTTAAGCTAGAGTGTAGACAAGCTAGATGGTTGAAATATGGGACAAGGTAGGTACATGCTCGCTGCTTTTTTCCTTTGCCACTCCGTTGTATTTGTGTGTGTGTGTGTGTGTGTGTGTGTGTGTGTGTGTAGCACTCACACATGTAATTAGCATACTTACTAATTAGCAACAAAATACAATATAGTGTCTCAATTAGACATGTTTCAATTAGTTGGATTATATGGAATTCGTACATTTATTCAATTCCAGAATATTTTGTTTAAAACTGCCATTCTAGAACTTGACCAATTTAAAGTTGCTTTACTTTTGGGATGCTTTCTGTGCTTTCCTGTTTCATTTCAATTAATTGTTTAGTTAATGACAATGTATGTGGAGGTGTTGATACTTCCTTTCTTGCAATAATTTGCTTTTTTGACTTGTATTTTATTTAGAGTACTTCATATAGTCATAAGAAATTAAATAATTTGAAACAATTTTAGTTTTTAGAAAACTAATACTGTGGTGTTGCAACTTGAAATTAATGATATGTCATGGAAATGTTTATAAATGCAAATTGCTTTTGTGGGTTTTTCAGCAGTTTTTATTTTAAAAGAGAATAAAATAGCAATGAGACATAGGTATATTTACATTTTCATGGTACAAGATTACCAAGGTACAAGATTAGGCAAGTTAAACCTAAAACTTATTATTAAAATGTTTCTTTTTGCAATACTGGGGCTGAACTGAGGGCCTTCACCTTGAGCCACTCCACCAGCCCAATTTTTTTTGTGATAGGGTTTTTTTTTCAAGATAGGGTCTCTTGAACTATTTGCCAGGCTGGCTTCGAACTGCAGCCCTCCTGATCTGTGCCTCCTGAGTAGCTAGGATTACAGTCATGAGCCACCGGCACCCAGCTTTAAAATGTTTCTTAATTTACAAATTTCATTTGTTCCTAAAAAACCTTATGTGTAAAACATAATTTGATGAATTAAATTTTAATGCTCCATTGATATTTGTTAATATTTTTTCTTTTTTTGTCATTTCTTTTTTGATACTTGTTAAAGAAACCTATAAATTAAACATATAAAATGAGTGATATTTTTATGAAGTACACTTTCTAAGTTTTTTGTATGTCTGTATTTTTGTAGAACATGTTGCTACATCTGTACTTATGAATTGAACTGATGGTTTCCATGTCTTAATTCCTCCTTCGGAAACTTTTAATTTACCTCCACGCTGCAAAAACCTCGTGTTATACAGCATATCCATCTACTAAATGCCTAATGAAGTTGAGTTTTAGATGATAAAAGCCAATTACTTGCCCGTGCTTTATGTGATTTCTTAATTTCTAATAACCCAAGGTATCAACCATTTCTAGAAGCCTTGTAATTTAAAAGTTAAATGAGCACTGTACCCTGAGACTTCTAAAGGAGGACAAGTAGAAGGTCTATGTTGCCTTTCACTGAACTATTTTGAGATGAGAACTTCATGGTACTTTCCATGTGGTTCTCTTGGCTTGGTCATTGTTTTACCTAGAAATATAAACCTAACCCATGTCTAATATGTTACAAAACAAGTCTGCTGGTTGTCATGGCGTCATGGACAATAACCTACTGATTATTGTCTGAAACCAGACACTGCTCATAGTAGCAATGACCAAGGCAACCTTGATGGTTAGATGTAAGATATAAGTCAGTAGGATAGCATGAGTGTTGTGTCTCAGTAAGGGATGTGTCTAGGAGAATTTCTCATAGATCCATCCTATTAACCGGACTTAGACATTTAGCAGATTCTGTAGAGTTGGATCAAGTCAACTGACACATCCTTAAAACTCAAATCAACATCACTCTGAAAGCCTGAAAGAGCCAGGTTCTGGAAAAGGCTACCAGAGTTTAAGAACCCTGTCAGAGTGATTTAACCTCTCAGAATAAGTGGGGAATTAAGAGACAGAGTAAGCAGGCAACAGGGTTTTAATTGTGTCATCTATAGATCACATTAAGCTCCTGGGAAAGGAATTTACTTTAACTAGACAGCAAGCTCAGCCAAGGCCAAAGGTCACTTTCTATGGCGAGAGATCTTCATGCCTTTCTTCTCTTTGGTCTCTTCTTACATTTTATATTCAGACATATAAATTCTGACTTGCTCAAATGAAATCTATGCATTATACATAATCACTTTACGCTAGAGAGGAGTAAAGGTACAGTGCATTTGAACAGTGGACTGTGAGTTGAAGGAGTATAGTTTAGGTTCCTTAATCAACCCCAGACTGACTGGTATTTTAGTCATGAACTGGTTGCATCATGCATAAAATTGTGCACAGTTGATGATGTAATAATGATTGCTGAAGTAACAGGTAAGGACTATGTAGCCTCGGGGACTTGAGGATGCTATTTAAGTGCCTTAGTCAGACAAATATTCACTCCTCATTCTCTCTCAACCCTTGAAACCCTTGAGAGTTGAAGGTGAAGATTTGAGAAATATATTAAATTGTACGTACCAGTGGAATTTTTTAAGTTATACTCACTCTTAGTGGTCAGTGACAGTCTCATGTGTGGACATCCTTACTCCAAAACATTGTTCCCAACACTATTGTTGACTGTTCCAAACATTGCATCAAAAGATTTTGTCTCAAATGAAATACAAATGCCCCGGAAGGTGACTAAAAAGAGATGCCTCTTGATCACTTGTGCTTTAGAGTGAACTGAGGTTGATCAATTCAGATTGTGGGAGTGATGTGCTAGGGATGAAATGCTAGAGCACAGAATATGTGATAAATACAGCAACAGCAAGAAGCCCTGAACATGTCAGTAGGAAAGAGGATGGTGGCATCAGAGCAACTTTTGAAAAGGAAGGTGTGTTAGACTTTTCACTGCTGTGAAAAATACCTGAGAGAAACAACTTAAAAGGAGGAGAGATTTACTTTGAATCCTGGTTTCAGAAGTTTTGGTCCCTCGTCCTTAAATGGCCCCATGGCCATGGGCCATGTGGTGAGGCAGAGCATCCTGGTAGAGAGGGTGGAGTAGAGTCAAGTTCCAGCTTACCTTGTGGCAGCCAGGTAGTGGAATGCCTGCATTAGCAGGCTTCCTCCTTCTTCCTCTTTTTCTTCCATTGGGTTCCCAGCCTAACTAATGGTGTCACCACATTTAGGGTGGTTCTTCTCCCTTAGTTAATCCTCTCTGGAAATACCCTCACAGTTTTACTAATCTCCTAAATAATTCTCAATCCAGAGGCAACAATCAAGAGCAATTTTCACAGAAGGATAGGGTTTAAAGACACACCATTCCTTTTCTATATCTTTGCCCAGTTTTGCCTTTATTTGCAAAAACAAGGCCTCAAAATGGGTTCAAGCTTCCATTGTACCATGAGGGACAACCAAAGCAGTTAAGATTAGTTTTGTCTTATGTAACAAAGGCACTCAAAATAATGGCATGAACAAAATAGAAGTTGATACTCTCTTACTCAGAAGTACAATGATTGGCAGCCCAAGGCTGGTATGGAGGTTGCGTAAAGCCATTCAAGAATTAGGCTCCTCCTAATCTGCTGTTCAGAAAAGCCAATTGCAATGTTTGTTCTTGTAGTTTGAGATAGTTGCAAGAGTCCAGCCTTTAACTCTGCATCCTGGAAACAGAATGGAGAAAGAAAAAGAGCAGGCCCCTTGTCTATCAAGACTTGATCAAAGTCTTACATTATGCTTTCATATATACCTCACTAACCAGAACATAGAATGGTTCCACAAGGCTGCAAGGAGGTTTAGAAATTACAGTCTTTTAGCTAGTTAGTTCATTTCAATTCAGTTTGTTTAATGGAGATTCTGTTCATTTGAAAGAGAAGGAGTTAGTCATAGGTAAGTAGCCATGCTTGGCAGGGTAGCTAATGTTTATTGCATGCTTATTATGTATGTACCCATTACCGTGCTCAGCTGTTACTGTGTCAGCTTATACAGCATCGCTGTAAAATGGGTGCCCTCATGATCCTCATTCCACGCATGAGGAATCTAAGGGCTGGGGGAGGGGGATTGTCCCAGGTCCCACAGTATGTCAGTCAGATGTCAAGTGGGATCTCAAGCCATATCTGGTTTCAGAGCCTATGTCCTTTACTGTTACTTTTTCTCTATTGCTATAGTTTAAGGAACCATTTTCCAAATATTAAATCCTCCCACAAAACATAGAGAAATTAAGCAGTTTATAACCTGCTCATTTGTATTTTTTTTTAGAATCAATGGCATTAATGTTGCTTTAATAAAAATCTAAGTGAAAAACAGAATGTGGTTCAATGGTAACCTGTACTTTCTAAAATGTTAATTTAAATATCTAACAGATGGAACGCATTGGGTTAAAAGGAAAAGGGTAAACCAAGATCTTCAGACTTGCTTTCTGAGTCTAGTCTGCTGATTCACTTCCTTTAAGATGAACATTTGAAAGAGAGCTAAAGGGTAGACTTAGCAAGTTTGAGAATAGGGTCAAGAAGCCAGGAAGAATGTTACACTGTAATGAAACCAAAAGAACCAGAAGTAATTTATTCTAAGGAGTTGACTGTCACTGTTATAGAGGATGAAGAGTCCCAAGGTCTGCAGTTGACAAGCTGGAGACCCAAGAGAGGCTATGGCAGTTTTGAGTCCAAAGACCTAAAAACCAGGAGAGCCAAAAGTGCACAGTCTAGTCCAGTTGCCTGTCTGAAATCAGAAAACTAGTGTCTCAGCTCAAAGACTGAGAGAGTAGATTCCTCTGACCTAGTCTTTTAACTCAATGCAGGCCACCTATGGATGGCATAAAGCCCAGCTATGTTGGGGAGGAGAGCAATCTGCTTTACCCATTGTACCTATTCACATGTTAATCTCATCCAGAAAGACTCTTACAGACATACCCAGAATAATGTTTGACCAAGTAATTTGGCACCCATGTTCCAGTCAAGTCAACACCTAAAATGAGGCATCATA